TTAGATTGATATTTTAATCACACTTGATTTGATTGAGTGTGATAATATTCATTTTTTATGTCACTTTTCAATTAAGTGTGATTATATATATATATATATATATTTAATCACACATTCTAATTAAAGTGTGATTATATATACACTACTACTTTTTAATCACACTTTTTAAATAAGTGTGGTTAGATATATATTTTTTTATCACACATTCTAATTAAGTGTGATTATTTATATATTTTTTAATCACACCTTCTAATTAAAGTGTGATTATATATACACTACTATTTTTTAATCACACTTTTTAAATAAGTGTGATTATATATATATTTTTTAATCACACATTCTAATTCAAGTGTGATTATTTATATATTTTTTAATCACACCTTCTAATTAAAGTGTGATTATATATACATTATTACTTTTTAATCACACTTTTTAAATAAGTGTAATTATATATATATATATATATATATATTTAATCACACTCCACTGCAAGAAAAAGCATCTTTGGCGACTAAAAAAGCACATTTGGTCGTTGAAAGTATAGGTTTTGGCGACTAAAAAAGCATTAGTAGCCAAAATTAAAGATTTTTGGCAACTAAAAAAATTTAGTAGCCAAAAGTATAGGTTTTGGCGACAAAAAATCTATTTGGTTGCCCATATATGGCTTTTACCGACTAAAAAAATTTTAGTAGCCAAAAGTAAGGCTTTTTGGCTACTAAAAAAAATTTGTAGCCAAAAGTGAGGTATTGGGTGACTAAAAAGATGTTTGGTCACCAAAAGTGAGGCTTTTACCGACTAAAAAAATTTTAGTAGCCAAAAGTGAGATTTTTTGGCGACTAAAAAAAATTTAATAGCCAAAACTGAAGCATTGGGAGACTAAAAAGATGTTTAGTAGCCAAAAGTGAGGCTTTTTGGCAACTAAAAAGAAGTTTAATCGCCAAAAGTAGTAATTTTAGCCCGAAAATTAAATTTTTTAACAACTAAAAAATAATTAGTAGCCAAAAGTATAAAATTGGTGACTAAAATTATGTTTAGTCGCTAAAAGTGGTCTCTTTTTTTCTAGTAAATAATTTATTTTTACATAAATTATGTTCAATAAAAAATAATTATCTTTATATATATACTTTTATATTAATACGAGTCTATGTACTATATAAATAATATATGTTGCATACACAATCATATGGTGTTGAGTGTGTTGTCTAAGGTTTATAGTGTGAAAGGGTTGATGGTTCGAATCTCCACAAGAGCAAATGAGAAGTTAGTTATTAATCACACTTAAAATGTGTGATCTAAATATTTTTAATCACACTTAAAAGGTGTAATCTAAATGTTATTAATCACACTTAAGTGTGATCTAAATATTTTTAATTACAACATATATCACACAAAAAAAATGTGATCTTTATCTGTTTTTGTAGTAGTGTTAGGATCATGTTGGGATCCCTACTAGACTTTATGTCCATCATGTTGGGATCCCTACTAGACTTTATGTCCATCCCACGTTATTAATCCTTTCTCAGGTGTATGTTGAGAAGTGTCTCAAGATCGGGGATCCTCTTATCTGTTGGCTACGAGGCCTATTATTTGTTGGCGGAACACCTTTGTTGTAAAAAGGGTTGAATCCTTTCTCTTTTATATAATAGTGTAAGCTTACAGATAATTTATTTAATTGTAATTCATATTGCATTTCAAATTGTATATACGATGGAGGGAATCTTTCTGTATTTATGGATGTCAGTGGATTTCGTTTCCATATTTTATTAATGAAAATGAACTAAAATGATGGATTTGGTAATGTTAGCCTTGTAATAAAAAGTTGGGCATGACAATTTATATATATTATCAATGTAGTAGAGATATCACATGATAAATAAAAATATATTATTGTTAATAATAATATTATTATTATTATTTCTTTTTTTTTACAATGTTAAAAATTTGTTTGTGTTCATTATTAATTTTGTAGATGAGAAGTCAAAAATAAATTTTAACCATATTTATGTTATGTCTAATTTTATATTTAAAATGAATGTTCAAATGAAATTTAAAAATATTTAAATGAAAAATACAAAGGAAAATTTTAACTATAAATTATAATTATCAAATGATCTAATTCTATTGAAAAAATAGATAATTGATCAAATTTAAATTTATAATTATGAAATATTTTAAAATTAATAAATCACTTTTTTATTTAGCTTCTAGCTTGATTTGTTCTTAAATAATTTCTTAGGTGTAAATATACCTTAATATTGATACAATAAATATTATTACAAGTATTTTAAGAATAACTATATAATTTCTTAATTAAAGTTTAAAATTGTTAATAAATATACCAAACAAATATGTGCATATTTCCTATTTTTGTTATAAAAAATATTTTTAAATATATTTACTAATTAAAAATTAAATAAATAAGTAGGCCAACTAACTCATGGGTTGTACATGAACTAAGACAATTCTCCAAGGATCTTAAACCGATAATTTTTGGTAAAACAATCTATTCAAATTAAATTTTGGCTACTTTTTAGTATTTAATCCAATATTGAAACTCCCAAACTAGCTCATATCGATTATAAACTATAATATAATTTAAACATAAAGTGTTAATTTATTATTATCAAATATTTTTATTAATTAACGGATAATTTTTTAGATTAACTTTAGAAATATGTCTTATAATTTATGACAACTCTATCGTAAGATAGTTTTTTCATATGTAAACTATTCATTTAATAGTTTTAAACATAAATATATAATTTCTTTTAGATAAATTCAATTTTTTTTAATAATTATGCATAAAAATGTTCATATTTCTTATTTTTATTATAAAAAATACTTACAAGTGTTTATTTACCAAATTAATAAATAAATAAGTCAAATGATTTATAAGTTGAGCATAGACTAAGACAATATTTAATGATTAAGTGAGGGTTAAATTAGTGTAAATGTTGAGTCGACTGACTTTTAAGGCCAAGTTTGGGAAGACTAAATAAGTGCACTTTTTAACTTTTTATGAAATATGAGTTGGATTTGAGTTGGATTTGAAATGATGTGTTAGAGAGGTGATGTGACTTAAATAAGATGATGTGACTTAAATAGGATAGTGACTTTTTGACTTTTTAAATTTTTTGGAGGATGTCAAACTTGGCCTAAGTCACTCATAATATTTAGTCCAATTCTAACAAATCAATTATAATCCATTCTTACTAAAGAGTTATGATATAAAACAAATTATAAATTTGATGGATGAGTAGGCAACTTTTTAGGCTTTACAAAACATAGAAAAAATAGTATATGGACAAATGTGATTTATTATTATCATATGATAAATTAAAATTGCGAAACTTATAAGATGAAATGTATTTATGTTTTATCATAAATATAATTTTTAAAATTTGTACAAATTAAATTATGACATATATTTTTTATTAAAAACTTAGAGCACACAATTAAGTTATGTTTGGTTTTGCCTTTTTGACTAAAAAAACACAAAAGACAAAGTTGACTCATGAGCTAATAAGACAAAATGTCACATCTAAATCATAATCATTATACTTTTTCTCTTACAAAAATCAAAAAAACTAAAAACAAAAATCAAATGATATGAAATTAAAAAAGTCAGGCTAAAATAGCCAAAAAGCCAGGCTATTTTAACTCTTCCCAAATGAAGACTTAATGACAAAAGAAAAAATTTCTCTTATATGTAATTCTAATAAAAATGAATAAAATCTAATTGATTCTAAATTCTAGATAAATTTTATATTATTATTTAATTTTAAAAATTAATTTATGATTATTTATGTATATTCGTGTATGTGTATTACCCTATTTTTTAAAATTAAAAAAAAAAAAAAAAAAAAAAAATTTCTCCCACACTCATATATTCAATTATAAAAAAAAAAAATTATCTCAAATTACAAACCTCAAACTACAAAGCTCTAATTATAAAACTATTTTCAAAATATACAACTAAATAAATTTAAAAACTTTTTTAAAAACTTTTTTAAAAAATTTATCTTTCAAAATTAATTTCAAAACTAAACCAAACACAACTATAATATTTTTGTGTTTTTTTGAGAATTTAAATTAGGTGACAAAATTATTCATACTAACTAGTTGTGTATTTTATATATAACTAGTGTTGTCTGTCCAATCGATGGGTTTACTGTTAAATTTGAAAAATATAAATTTTAATTTTAATTTAAAAATATATATTTTATATATCACGTAAGGGTCTTATTTTTTCGAAAATTAATTTCACTTTATATATAATATTGAAAATATAGATGACAACAAGGAGTAAAATGTATCCTAAAGTTTTCACAATGCAAGCCAAGCCAAATCGAGCGAAGCCGAGTATGTCGGCGCCGTGTGAAAAAAAAATGCAACCGTAACGCAACAAGCAAATTGGGTACAACCGCCCACTGCAGACCCCACCACGTACAACCCCACCAGAACTCTCTCTCTCTCCTACTGTACAAAAATTAAATCGATTTAGTAATGTATCCAAAAAAATAATAATTAATTAATAATTAAATATTTTTATTAGGATAAATTATAAATATCCTCCCTGAAATTTAATTAAAATACAGATTAACCCTTGTAATTTTAAAAATTACATTTTATTCCTTAAAGTTTCTAATTTTGTAACAAATGACGTATTTTATTAATAAATCATGAAATCAATGAATAATTTTTAATGATATTATAAATATGTTTCAATTAATAATTTAAATAATTTTATTATTGTATTAGAAAATAATTATAAATTTTATTTTTTTAATTAATTCTGTTAAATAAAAAATTTGACAAAAAAATATTTTTAATTTTCAAAAGTAGAAAAGACAATCTATACTTTATTTATAATTTACCCTTTTTATTATTAACTAATCATCTTATTAATGCATTATTAAAAAATAAACTTTTACATCATTTTTCAATATATATTAGATTCCATCCCATACATAACTTCACAAGTGTTTCAGATCACCAACTCTCTCTCTCTCTCTCCCACCTCCATTGATGCTACCAACTCTCAACTTCGAGCGGACTCGAATTCATATTCAAGGACGAATCTAATCTTCGCTATAGTCGGTATTGTCTCTTCGCTCTGTGAATCGTTCAAGCATATATATATGCTTGTGCTTTTGTTTCAGTGTTGTTAATTATTTTGATTGTTTTGTTCTCGTTCGATTAACTTGTTTGAACAATCTGAGTTTGAAGTGTGAGAGTCGAATTCTCAAGTTAGGGTTTAAGTTTTGATTTCTCAAGTCAGGCAATGGCATTTTGGTACAGTGAAGGCCTACTTGTGAAGTTGATGAGTGCGTATATATATATAGTTCGTATATACATTTAGTGCAAAACTAATGTGCTTCTCGAAGTTGATGAGTCGATCAATAGATAAATATTAAACGCATATACAAACATGCTCTGTTGTTGATTTCTGGTTTTTGATTTATCATGAATATGAGGTTTTTAAACTTAATTATTTCTTTTATTTTTGAATTTTATGGAGTTCTGTGATTTTTGGACTTGGCATGTTGATGTTGATTTCTAGTTTTTTGCTTATTTTGATGTCTAATTGGCTCAATATTTAGTGTTTAGCATCATAAAACATGAAACACATTTGGTGAATTTGTTTTTTGTATTTTTTGTTTTTCTCAAGAATATGAGGTGGTTTAAACTTTACTTTATTTTATTTTTGAACCTTATGGAGTTCCGTGATTATTGGATTTGGAATGTTGATGTTGATTTCTGGTTTTTGCTTATTTTGATGTCTAATTGGTTCAATATTTAGCGTTTATCACCATAAAACATAAAACAAATTTGGTGAATTTGGTTTTTTATTTTTGTCAAGAATATGAGGTGTTTAAACTTGATTTTTTATTTGAATTTTATGGAGTTCTGTGATTGTTGAATTTGGGACGTTGATATTGTGTTGAAAACTTGATTTCTAGTTTTTGCTTATTTTGACATCGAATTGATCACCATCATTAGTCAAAACTTGGCAATTGTTGTATACACTAATGACTTCAGCATTGATCGGTTTTGTTTTCCAGGCAAAGAAGAACCATGAGTACACAACTATTGGACATTCAACCCCGTGAACTAAAGTTCACATGTAAGTATAAAGATATAAAATTCCCCATAGTTACTGAATCTTTTGCTTGATATTGTTGCCAATCATCAATATTATGTATTTCAGTTAGAAGATTCAGTCTCACTTGCAAGTAATAAATATGGAGACTTCTGATTATTATTTTTATTAGTGTATATCTGATATTAGCTTCCCTTAATGCATATAATTGTATGTGAAGACAGAGAAGCATTGATTTAACTAGCCCATGAGCAGGTTATCTCTGATCTGAGGTTTGTCTTTGCGTATTAACTCGAGGTGGGTAACAAGGAACATTCTGAGGCATGCCAACAAGGCATATCCAGGGACATTTTCTTCACTTCTCCACATGTTATTCTTACTTTATTTAGATGACAGTTGGATAACCATAATATTCATGATTTTGTTGTTCTACAATTTTTTTGGCCTAGTTAGTAGAAACATATATATGCAGAAAAACATAATCAGAGACTCATCTGTGTTTAGTACAAGGCGATATTAAGCCTCTTCTGTGTGAGGTGAGAGCGCGGCCATTACCTTGTTGCATTTAAATTGTAGCATGGAAAAGCAATGTAATACTGGTTGCTGCACTTTCTTAAGCCCATTTTGAGATGCTGTTGTTGTTGGTCACAACTATTTATATATAGCCTTGCCCAATAAAATAGATTCCTCACAGGCCGAGATGTACTTGTTTCAAGATGACTCTTCTTTAGGGCAATCCTTGTTTCTCTGTAGGCATTTCTTGCCCTCGATTGGATAACTCAAATACCGTAATACCGTTTAAAATTGTGTTGAACTGTCAGATTCATGTCAGACAATAATTACATTATGTTGCAATGAGGGAAATGGTCATCATGTTGAGGGGAAGAGGGTGGATTTCTGGGCATCCTAATACATAAATGGTCTGGAATTTTTAAGTCTCGAAGTCAGTTTTAGGATAAGAAGATGAATGAGCTGAGTATGGTTTTTTTTTTTTTAGTGAACTTTTAGGTGCCAGCTAACACATACATGAGCATGCACAACAAAATTATGGTTCTTGCAGATTTCTGATGATTACTGATTTGCTTACAATCTTGTAAAGGTCCAATTACCAAAAAAAAATTCTGAGCTCTGCATGTTAAAGATGACAATAATTTTATCTCTTACTTTGCTTCTTATCACTGGTAGTACTAAATTTACTCAATATTTCAGTTGCTTTTGTCCTTTGTCCTGCTCTACAATGTGGTGGTGTTTTCCTACCCTTGCTTACCTCAAGTTGATCAAGTAAAACAATGAATTACTGCTTGTAGGTTGTGTATAGTGTCCCGTTGTTATTTATATATTATCTTATACTGAAAAACTAATAAGTCTCTCTCTCTCTCTCTCTCTCTATAGTTGAGTTAAAGAAACAAAGTTCATGTGCAATTCAACTTCACAATATCTCTGATCAGTATGTAGCTTTTAAGGTATGGTTATTTTTTTGCTTTAACTTTCATCTAGTTATTTTTGGTTAAAGCGTCCTTTATATTATGTTATCAGTTTTCCTTGTATAAATCTTATCTCCTCTCTACTTTATATAATCTAGGACTCAAATATGATGATGACATTAAGGTGAAGATAATTTGTTTTGAAATGGAGACTTATGGAAGTTCATGTAATTGGAAAATCATATTGGCAGGTGAAGACTACATCTCCAAAGAAATATTGTGTGCGACCCAACGTAGGCATCATCAAACCGAAGTCAAAATGTGATTTCATGGGTATATACATACATACTCCATTTTCTTTCTTTTCCAGAATTTTATTTTTGTGTTTCTATTACACATGAAATTGTGAATAGTACCACCTTTTTGCTTAAGTTAAATACTTTTCCCAAGGCTTTGTTATGTAAGATTTTGCCGTTTATATATTCTGTTAAAACTTTTTCTGTCTACTTTAAACTAAAATTTTCTTCTCTAGCACGCAAATCAGAATCATCTTGCTTGATTGAGAAAATTTCGATACCAGCAAGCATCAAGTTAACCTCATAAAGGAGACAAACAAATGGCTCGTGAAGTGTTCCAGGAATGTTAATAAGTTGTGTGGAGTGAATTGGTGAGACTATTAGCTAAAAACACAGTTATGAAAGGAATATGGCTTCCGTTTGATTGGAATGTGGGACAGGAACCAAATTCAATATTTAAGACAACTATGATCATGGTTTCAAACTTTGAATCCATTCAACACTTGAAGAGGCCAAGTTTCAGAAATCATTCGAATTGAACAATCTAGATTTTTGAAGGTTCCAAGAGAGTCTGAAATTTAGGATTAAGGAACAACTGTAAAAATATTACAAGACTCTGTAGCAAAAAGGTGACAAACTGTTTGGAATGCAGAATCTTAAATCAACGGACGATGATATGCACTGTTTTGTATGTGTGGAACAATCAGCCAAACTGAATGAAAGAACATCTATATGCTCACTTATGGTCCACATCTCAATAATTTCTGGCATACTATATCATGATTTCCATCACAAATGGGCTTCCCTGTGAAGTGAAGCTATGGTATATGTATGACAACAGAGAAAACTTGCCTGTATGGTGACATTAAATGTCATGATTAACTCTAATTGTGTTACTAAGGTTGTGGGACTACAACATGATGGTAATAGGCCTGGTATGTCCTTAAAAGTAGCCATTACCTTATAGTCACAAATGGCATATATCATCATTGTTATTATTGTTTTGTTAAGAATGTTACATGCCTACTCATTATTGGACACTACAGTTTTGTTATTATACAAGTTTAAACCTTCTGACCTTCAACAACTATTCACTCCACTTCTTTGGCCAACGTAGTCACTATGCAAGCTCAACCATCAGCACCATCTGATATGAAGTGCAAGGATAAATTTCTAATTCAAAGCACTGTTGTACCCTTTGGGACAACTGAAGAGGATATTACACCTGGCATGGTAAGGATCTGGGCAGGGGTTGTAGATGATTTTAGTTTTTTCATGATTGTTTATTATTGTTCTCTGTGGCAGTATGCGAAAGATAGTGGCAAACACATTGAAGAAAGTAAGCTCAAGGTCATACTGACTAGCCCATCCCATTTGCCTGTATTGCTACTAACTAACGGAGTTATGAAGCAAGAACCATCATATGGAACTTCAGTACAGAAAGACAAACTGCCGAGCGGAGTTGAGAATCTTCCTCCTCATGTGGTGAGTACAAAAACATCCTATCTGACATCATCAGCTTTAAGGCCACCTATTTTCATTGGCCATTATTGCTACCTGCATGTGATCTTCATGCCCTTCATAGGGCCTAGATTGCAGTGGCCTTGGATTCACCGCATCAATTCTTCTAACATTGCCCACTCACTCTCTCCTCTCTCTGTATATGAATATTGTTTTATGTATATAGATGTATGTATATCTTCCTCTAAAAATTCTAGATTGATGTAAACAACAAAAACTGAACCCCCAACGACCAATGCCCTTTTTCTAAAAGAAAGAGAACAAAAATACAAATGAAAACCCAAACACTAATTCCTATTTCTTGAGAAATTCCTCAATTACCCTAATCAATTATGGGTAATTGATTGGTGATTGGGGTGGCAGTGGAGGTGGTGGTCAGAGGAGGAGTGTAGAGAGAGTGAGCAGTGGGGGCTGAAGCGAAGAAGAGGAGACAAGAGAAACAGATCACTGTTCTGCCTTTTGGGTTGCTCCCATTCACGTTCTATCTCTACTAACTAAACTGTTTCTTTCTCTAAAAATATTAACTTTGTTGTATCAACTAGCAAGTCTGACATGGGAGGTTAGTTTAATTTCGGAAACCACATGAGAGGTCCTGTAATTGTCAAGAACCTCAAGTGGGGTCCGCCTAGTTATCTCTAAAGATAGCCCAACATCCCAACTATACAGCAGTCTCATTTTCATTTCTGGATTCTCCCTTTGGTTATTTGTGTTTTTTTCCCCTTCTTTTGATAAGTATTTTCATCTTTGGATTCTAAGTTGAGAAATGTTAAGCGTAGCCCTGCTCTGATTCTTCTCTTTTATCCTTTCCCCACTTCTTTGCCTTGACTAGTTGGCCTTACTCTCAGAGTAGTGAAAATGTTATTGTGGAAATTTCCTATAACGAATTTCTGCTTATGAAAATTTGTCTTTTTCTTTACTTGTGCCAGATAGCTAAGGACGTTGAGGATGTCAAAAGTGCTCCAGTTATGGAGTTGTTGAGGCCTTGCAAGGATGTAGAGTTGAGCCCATCAAAGGATGTCGAGCCAAGACTGTTTATGGATGTGGAGGATCCAAAACTGAAGTTGGGTAAAGACATTGAGCAGCTGAAGTCAAAGCTCAGTGAGGTTAGTCTTTGCATACTAAGGTCATGTTTGTTTAGGTGGACATGAGCTTGGGATTGGACTAATAGTTCAATAAAATTATTAATCCGATGTTTGGTTAAACAATTGAAGTACGGACTAATTATTTTAAACTTGACTATTAGTTAAGATAGGATACATAATCCAACAGATTCGTAGTCCTAGGACTATCATGGGAATGTTAATCCAATCCACCCAAACAAACATGGCCTAAGTTTATACTATATAGGATAGCTAACTAGCCGTAGGTAGACATGCACACACTGATCAAGTGATTTTTTTTTTTAAAAAAAAGCAGGACAAAATATATTTGGGACATGTTAAAATTTTATATCTTTTATAAATTTGTCATATATCAAATATATGAATTATTTATTCAAAAAGGTAATTAAAAAAAATAACACTGATTAAAATTAAAAGTCATATATTTCAAAATTTAAAGTTAAAAAATCATTCACGTAATAATTGCATTATTGAAAAACAATTGTACATTACTGAAATTCATACAAAAATGCTATAAATTCACCCTTATCAACCCATAATTTATTCCAAATGTGTTTGTGTGGTAGAGATTAAATTGATGAAGTATAAAGTCCATAAGTAAAATAAATTTGAACTATTGATTCCTTTTTGTAGATAAATTTTGAGTCTGTAAGTACGGTTTTGTCGTATTGTTGAAATACATATGATGTGTTCATCTTATAAATCTTCCAAAATATATCTAGGGTGCACAAGTTGCATTACATAAAATGCAAAACATTGTTACTATGATGAGATTTCATCACATAGGTTGTGTTCGGAAAATTCAAGAAGGGTTGTCAAAATGTCTGTTAAGTATTTGATATTATGAATTTAAATTTTTAGTTAAGATATATTGAACAAGTGTCAGACGTGCTTTTAGAAATGTTTGCAAAATGTCTGATAGTAGTGTCATGCTTCTTGGTAGGATCACAAACACTTAGATCAGGTGAATTAGGCTTATCAAAGAGTGAATAAGGCTTATCAGTGGTCATTTAAATTATATTTTCATGAGAGCAGCAATGAGTTTTTGTTTTTTGGGAACCATCACGTGTTACATTCTTTAAGTTAGAGAAAACATTTATAAGAAATTGTGGAATTTGTTGTAGGCTGACTTGACCATTTCGAGGCTAACCGAACAGAGAGCCACAAACATTCAAGAGAGGGAAACGCTCAAGCAAGAACTGGTTACTTTTCTTCTTCTTCTTCTTCTTTTCCATTTCTTTTTTACCGCATGTTTATTTTGTTTTTTGTTTCTTATAAATAAGTCACATTTTTTTTTTGGTTGTCTTTGGTAATCTTTTTTTAAAATTATGTCAATTTTTTTACTTTTACAATTTGTCTCGTATAAATGAATCTAAAAAGTAAAAAAATTATGGAAAAAAAAAAAAACTGCTTTTGGCTTCTTTTTTTTTTTGTGGTGTTTTTTGGACTTTTTTTGAAATATTTATAAAAAAAAAACCTTATTTTTTTGGTTTGTCTAGTCGAGTAGAACTTAAAAACCTGAAACTTTTTTTAAAAAAGAAATTAAAAAATCAGTAAAGATAAAACATGACCTAACTACCCAATATAAAGCTATAAATAACAGTCTTTTCACCGATCACAATATACCTGGGGTACCAGGTTATGCTGCCCCGGCTAACCAATAACTCTCACAAATAGCAGGCTAATGAGAATTGGGTAGAGCACCACGTCTTGCTGATCCCCATGAACCAAATTACTCCATCGGTTTCAAAATATTCTTATTTTATTTTTTATTTGTTTTAATATATTAATTTTTTAAAAAAACAAAAAAAAAAAAAAAAAAAAAAAAAAAAAAAAAAGTTCAAAAAAGCAAACACCAAATAGGAAAAATCCAAAAGCAATAGTTTACAAGTTGATTGGAAATTGTATGCAAACTTGGTTCAAATCTGGAAAACTAGACTGGTAAGTTAGAAAATAGAGTTGAAAATCTAACAGCTAAATCCGCAACGGGTGACAAATCCTACAGATAGGAATAATTCGAACACTTTCCACCCAGCCTCACCTCTACCAAGGTTTGATCTCCAGTAATACTAAGGCCTCGTTTGGCAAGAGGCTATTTTAGCCAAATAGTCAAAAAGTTACTAAATTAGCCAAAAAGCCAACAACCCATACCAAAAAGTCAAAGATTCTCTTTTCTCTCTACTTTTTGCACATCTTTTCGTAATTAGTCAAAAAGTCATCCCAAACATACAAGTTTTTTTTACCTACCTTTTTAGCCAAATAGCCAAAAAGTTACTAAATTAGCCTGTTCCCAAACGAGGCCTAAGCATCATGAAAAATTTCATGAAATTTTTTTATTCTTAAATTACACGCAATAAAGCATAGGGTTTGGTTATGGTGTGCAACTTACACCTTACACCTTATACCTTACACTTACACCTTACACTTACACCTTTTGTAAAAAATTAAACCTTACACTTACACCTTTTTTGAGGTTGCACACCATATGCAACCCACTTACACCTTACACCTTACACTTACACCTTACACTTACACCTTATACTTATACTTACACCTTACACTTACACTTTTTGTGTAAGTGGCACATGGTGTGCACTTGCACACTTAAGAAAACTCCTAAAGCATAACACACTAATTGAAGTATGAAAAAATTTTATGAAGTATTTTAAAGATGTTTCTTTTACAAACAGTCTATTTCAAAGGCAAAGTCATCATGTAACTTATTTTGTATTAGTTAATTTATATGTTGTTTGAAATGTAATGATCTTATTTTTAATGAATAATGTTTGCACTTTCTTGGTTATAAAATTATATTTGGTTTGGTTTCGGAATATATTTTCAATTTTTTTTTTTAAGAAACTAAAAATTAAATTAGTAAAAAAAAAATTAAAACAAACTATTTTAATATAATTTTATCTTTTGGGAGGGTAGAAATAATTTTTTTGTTTATTTATTTTCGTTAAATTAGTTTTTATTTTTACAAAAGCCAAACATGTCGACAACGTTAATATCATTATTAAACCAATCTAATAAATCAAAAAAATTTAGAACTAAAAACATTTCGTATATTAAATATATTGTTACACATTAAAAGCTTAATAATTAGTTATTACATGATAACTATTCAAAAATATATTTTAATGGAAAAACAACCATCTATTACATGATAACCATTCTAAAACATCAACTTAAACAATTACTCGTTACATGATCGTTATTCAAGCTTATAATAAAAACTAATTTGGTAAAACAATAAAAATATAAAAGATTTGTCATTTTTATATAATTTTATCTTTGATGTGTATAATTTTTAAAAATTAAAAAATAACTTTTTAATGGTTATTTTTATTAAAATAATTTATATTATCAAATTGATGACTTTGCTCTTAAAATTGAGCATTTTCTGTTTGCAAAAAAAATGATGTCTTCAATTGTCGTCTTTATTAGGAATGAAATTTAAAATTCATGATTAAATGTATCACAATTAAAAGGATAGAGACCAAAGTAACATAATCTCAAACTACAATAACCGTTAATATAATTCACCATTTTCTTTTTGTTATTGATTTCCTTTTCTTTTTGTTATGCACAGGTGTGTTCCACAAAGGAAAATGAAACTGCAGTTTTCACCTTTGTTTCAAATTGTTAGTCCGTAACGAAAGAATTTCGTGTCGAAATTTTTAATTTTTTTTGACGAAATTCTTAATTTTTTTTATCAATTTGTGAAAAAATTAAAAATTTTGACGCAAGAATATATTTGGTTTGGAGTTTTACAATTTTCTGAATTTTTAATTCTTTTTAGTAATTTTTGTTAATATTTTAGTTAATATTTTTTTATTTTTAGATTCACTTAATCTAGATATATTTAAAAAGTACAAAATCAATGCAAAGATCTTTTAAAAATTAATTGAATACAAAAAAATATCAAGATTCAATACATATTTGTATTTTATTGTATTTAATGAATTTTTAAAAAAAAAAATTGTACAAATTTTGTACTTTTAAAGTACGTCTAGATTGATTAAAATGTTGAAAAAATACAAATTGAAAACTCAATAATTTTTTTTTTTGAAAGTTTCAAACCAAATAGAGCGATTATTTTTATGTTTTCAGTTTTCATGTCCTAGAGAAACAATTTAAGACGGAAGGAGTACAATTTTTGGCAATGTTTCACACAGGATTCAAAAACGACTTTCCTTGCTGTACCATAATTTTGACATTCAGCATTTTGTTTTGTTTTTGTCTTGCGCAGGCAATGTTGAGGAAGAATGGCGTAAAGACAGTTCAGGTCGGATTTCCCTTTCTTTTTGTTTTTATGGTTGCACTAATCAGTCTTGCAGTCGGATACCTTCTGCGCCCTTAGGGAAGAAGAAATCTTTTGTGTCTACTCAAGTTTTAAAATTGCTTGAACTCTTTGAAAGGGACTATATTTAGAGGTGGGACATAGGATTAACTGTTAGCGGTCATTTAATCAGTGCAAGCAACTTTGTAGCAGGATAGTCGTCGATACACTGGACATATTGCAGTCTCTTTGGAAATGCATGTAGAAGGTGAAGAAAAAAAAAAAAAAACAGATGGCTTTGAATGAAAGAAGATAAATAATCTCTATTGTGACCATTCCAATTGCATTCCTTTGCCCTTCTATTTTTCCGGGAATATTTATGCCATTTGTATTGTATTGTTAAGTTCAGTTTTTTTACATTTTCTAACATTTGGTGAAATAGAAATAAAAAAGCAACATAAAACATTTTTTTTATAATCAAAGAGAAATATTTCTCAAACTAGAATCTTACCACCATCACACCAAGACGACAACTATAGCACATTAGTTCAAATGAAAAATATTTGCTGTAAAAAAATATATTTTCTTCATCGTAGGTGTTGTACTAGATCAATGAATATGGAGTGACTACCAGACTTCTCCTAAGATTGCATTGACTGGATATGGATTCTTCATTGTAGAACTTCACATTGGGAATTGGCTTAAATTCAATTTATTGGCTTAAAAAAAATAATAATAATGTTAGAAAATAACTTATTTACCCTTCATACTAACAAACTTAATAGGCAAGGGCAAAAATGAAAAGAATGTAGTATTAACTTTCTACCGAATTTTTGAGCTTTTTGCTTCTTTCTTCTTTTAAAAAACACAAAAATAGAGAAGTTGGTTTCCTTAAAGGAATGTAAACAGACAATACTTTTTATTTCTTTAGACTAAAAAAAAAACTTAATATGCAAGTTTTTTAAAATTTGCCTAACAAAGCCTAATAATATATATTTGAATAGACATGCATTCAACATTTGGTCCCTAAGAGGAGAGAGATTCAAAATCCTATTCACATCATTTTTGGAAATACAAATTCAAAAATCCTACTTGTGTTCCTGGCTAAACAGAGTTATTTAGAGCACTACCGTAGCATGTGCAATGAGATTGCGCAAAAAGAGATTGATAAGACTGACCTTACTTCTTATCCAGCGGACCAAGGTTGGCCAAGTCAATTCTACGCATCTCCTGACTACTGCACTATGTCAACATACTACTGAGTTAATGCTTTACACAATTCTGAATAATTAGCAATAACAAATAACAAAGTCGATACCTGGAGCACCAAGAACCATCTTATTGACTTCGAAGAACACTTGCAATGAGAATATCATCAAATTTATAACTTACATATACAACAAACAAGTTTACAGTGACAAAATTGCAATCTGTAAATGAAATCTAAGTGCACAAGAGATTTTCACAAAATGGGACATAGATGTGAAACAAAAGATGGATTCTACACCTTTGTCTCACATCTGTGTCTCATTCTGTGAAAATCTTCTGTGCCCCTAGCTGATCTGCAAAGCCAGCAAAAATTACAAGGGAGAGTAATATGCACAACTTGGACCACACAAAACAGTCATACAAAAATATGCAAAGTTCTGATTTTTCTGGGGAAAAATGCAGTGAGTGAACCAGCCTCATGGGAGAGCCATGAATGAACTCTTTAATCAATGGCTGACCCTCGATAAAATTGAATTGAAACCACCATAATGAATAAATTCTATGATGCCCTCAAGACCCCATACTGCAACACTCGTAGATTTTAGCAAACAACAAACCTCAAATCAACAGCCGATTGCAAATCCTACCAACAAAATGCTGATGAAAATCAGTTTTGTGCTACCCTTCTTGTTTCCCTTATTGCAATTGGTGATCGCTTTGTTCAGGTGGTGAACCAGGAAGGACGGGTACAAAACCCCGCCCGCCAAAAACGGGCCGCATGAAACCATTATCAAATTTACGCCAATAGTAGTGGACAGAACGAGAAGGGGTGGCCAGAAGCATCCGTAAGCTGTTTGGGCGAGGCACGGTTGGGCTACAAAGATCGGCTTCTGAGCCTTGCCCGTTGGCAAGGAGTGGCACAATGAAGGATTTCGGAGTTGTGGGTTCGGTGGACAGCATTCTGCTTAGGTTATTTGGTGAAGGCAACAGGAGTCTCACCAAAGGTTTAGTCATCAACCCAAACACCTGCGTATGCCCAGAAGGGTAAACGACGTTAGACCTCCTTTAGATGCTGGGATAATATCAGAAAAATGAAAAACGGGAAAATTACTTGCATAAATTATAGAGTGCAAAGGGTGCCAGTGAGATCTATGCCAATTTTGCACAGTTTTTACTTGCGCTGGGCGCGTATGTCACAAAGGAAAAGAGAATGAAAGAAAGAATAACATGTCAAGAAAACAAATGTATAGGGCGGGCGCAAATGTCATATTAGACAAATTATAGCTAATGATAAGGATTTTTAGGATAATAATATATCAAATGGGAAATCATTTCATTAATCTATAGCCAAAAAGGTTTTATTTAAATTCAATATCCTCATGAGTCATGGTCAAACTACCCAAACAGTTATCTAGTTGCTAGGGCCTTTAACACATTTATTTTTAGAGTAGTGATTGGTAGCTCGAAAGAGCTCCCCCGAATTTCCCCCGAAACGAAAACGACGTCGCTTTCGTCGTTTTTTTTTTTTTTTTTTTCATTTTAGAAGAAGAAGAAGAATTTCATCAGAAGAAGAAGAAAATCAGAAAGAAGGAAGAAAGGGAAGAAGAAGGAGGAAGAAAAGAAAGAAGAGAAGGAAGAAGAGAAAGACTGGAGGGGCCATCAACCAGGGCGGGGGGGAGGCGGAGGCGGAGGTGGAGGCGGGCGACGATCGGACAATCGGGGACGACAATCGGAGTGAGCTGCGACGATCGGACAATCAGGGACAACGATCGGCGGGACGACGATCCCCCTCCATTCCTCTTGCCCTCCTCTTTCTCTTCTCCTCTCCTCTTCTCTCCCTCTCTCTCTGTGTTTCGGGGGATTCGAGGGACGATTTTTCGGGGAAAAAATCATTTCTCTTATTTTTATTATCAAAATTAAATAGTGCACAAACAAACTTTATTCCTAAATTACGTTCTTTTTAAAAAGTTTTTTTTTACAAAGTGTGGTTGCAAAGCACGTTTTTTACTTAGACTCCGTTTGTTTCGACGTAAAATATTTTACACAAAAAAATATTTTCCTTGTAAATTGATTTTACATAGAAAAAATGTTTTTGTTTTTGTTTTTGTTTTTGTTTTTCGGTATTTAGTTGACACTTGAAACAAAAATATTTTATTGTCTAAAAGAGAAATTTTGATTCAATAATGTGTCATTTATGACGTTTTAGTGAGTTAAAGATATTTATTTGAAAAGGCTAAATGTGTAGAAAAGATAGTAAGAGTCAACTTTTTAAAAATTGACTTTCAAAATTTTTAAAGGTAAGTCATTTTTGGAAAAATGATGCACAAATATTTTTCTTAAAAAAAATTTTACTTGCTTTTTGTTCAACCAAACAACGAAAAATGAGTAAAATATTTTTTACAAAAACATTTTACGTCAAAACAAACGAAACCTTAATGCAAAACACTATCTGAACTTTTTTTTGTCTCAAGTGTTTATATTCAAGTAAGAACATTGTTGGCAACACCACTTTTCAAGAAAAATGTGATTGATTGCTAACCACGTTTTACCGTAGTTTGGAAATAAAGTTTGTCCATACAATATTTGTTTAATTTTGATTTTAAAAATAAAAAAGGTTAAAGAGCCCTTGTTGCTAGTGACCAGGTTCAGGTGAGGCTGACAAGACCATGAGCAGAGGGTATTAATGGACAAAGCTCAGTCCAGCCTCACCGCAAGCCATATATCTGAAAAGTTTAGGTCGAATCAAATCAAATTTGGCGCTATCTCACATTCCATTGAATTTTAAAAGCCCAAGGAATCTTTAATGCTAATTCTTTTCTATGAACGGTCATTTTGGCAGTTGAAGCAAGTTTTGAGGAATCATGGTAACCGTTCAGAACTCCACCCCCAAAAATATTGCCAATATTTTGGAAATGTTCAGGAAACAGAAACTCTTGAAGAGTTATTCAGGGTATCATTTTAGCATGGCTAGGTCCAGCCCTGTACTTGACCACAACTGTAATTAGAAGCGTAAGATATCTTACCATTGTGCTGAAAAGAACAACTGTGATGGTACTGGTGATCATGACTGCATTTGCACGCAATTGGGTATGGCCTCCCTTTGTGAACTGCAAGTATGAAAATTAAGAACACATTATATAATATTCCCACATCGAAAATTGGTTTCAAAACCCCTGCTTCCCAGGTCACATAGAACCGCCTACAGAATCGACTAAATGTAGACACATGCACATGTGTATCTTTACTGTTGATAGGAAAAATCAATCTCTGTTTAATGAAAAGGATACGCTTGAATAAGTTACCTGATTATAAGCAAGGGCTATAGAAACAGCACCTCTCATAAGACCTGCCCACCAAATGGTAACCTGAAAATAGAGGGGTTAAATTAAAGGGTGTTGAACATGCCAAATAATTCAAGGACATCAAAAACATGGAACCAGAATGATAAACTTATACTTGCTGCTTTAGTTCAATTTTTTCATGTGAAGACTTCCGAGTCAAATTGGATAAAAATGATAATGGGAAAACAAAGGCTGCTCTTCCAACTAAAATCAGTCCCAATAGTATTGAGCTGACTCCAATTGATGTTCCAGGGCTGCAAGAGAAAAAAGTCACATAAATAACCAGCCATTCAATCAGGCAATAACAGATATAATTCACCATCTTTCATTCGTAACGACAGTCCAAGACAATGTGTAATGGCCACTAATTTTCTTTTGACATATGAACCATACCTGTCACTTACAAATCTCCACTTTTCAATATCCAAGGCATCCATACCAACATAAAGAAAGATAAATATCTCACACATAAATGACAGTGTTGCAAAAGCATGCCTGCAAACATGTTTAAAGGCAACTTAGACATTAGTACCATCATAAATTGGATGGCACTCTGCCAATACAGAAACAGTATAAAAATAAATAAATAAAATTTGTTCCTTGGACATTAAACATACTTGGTAGTGACTCTTGAACTCTCTGTGACATTATGCCAGGTGTAGTGGGACATCACAATCCCACAAAAGAAGACAGTGAGAATCGCACTTAAAAAGAATAACTGCAAGACAAATTAGGCTATTAAAATTTCCGTGTTAAGATGATAAAATTCCACAACTCCAAGAAGAAAAAACAAAAACAAATACAAATACAAAAGAAAAGGAAAAGGAAAACGTAAAATAGGTGCCTACAAGTGGAAAATCTTACTTCAGACAACATATACGAAAGGTAAGCCATGAGCATCATAAGAGCAACCTCACGATCAGTAGAGTGCCTGGAGTATACAATGAAAAGTATAAATAATTATCCTCAATAAATAATTGAAAATTATCGCATTTGATCCTATCATTCTCTCTTTCCATAAGCTACCAAAGATTTCAAAAATGGCCTCCCTCTCTCTCTCTCTCTCTACGTGTGCCCGTGTCCACACATGCACAATCCAAATATAGCAGCCAGCAGAACCACATTCATATGCTACTAATGGCATACCAACATATCAGGTGCAGAAGCAGAGATAAAGGGAGATTTTAATCACCTGCAACTGAACCATTCCTATGGCCCACATTCATGGATTCTCTGTTTTAAACTACAAACTCCCCAAAAAATATCAGGCACTCGCTTGCATGGTCAATTAAGTGACAATGACATAAGACAAATTTACAACCATGACAATCATATTACAAACCTGCCAAAATAAAGCTTTCTGATTATGAATGCACTAAGCAATCCAGCCTGCACAAGTATAAAATCAAATGTCATAAACCATATGGCCAGAAGCAAATACATACACACATATACACACACCAGAGAGAGAGAGAGGACTCACTGCAACTCCCAACAAGGTACTTGTGAAAAATAGATATAGGAAATTGCCGACTAACTGCAACAATGTGCTAGAGTTGATATTAGTTAGGTCAAAGCTCTGAATTGCATTGAAAAGAACAATTGATGTGGCATCATTTACAACCCCTTCCCCAAAAACAAGACTGTACAGTAGAGGTGTCTCATCTTGATTAAGAACCTGCAACACCAAACCAGATACATTGAAGCATGAGAAGTGTTCTCACTTAAGACAAGACCACAATATCAAAAAGGTATCCTTACCTGCAAGGTACAAACAGAATCTGTTGCAGAAAAGATTGCTCCAATTGCTGCAAACAATCAAGTAAAATGAGAGAAGAAGAAGATAAGTTGTATAAGAGAGAAATAGTCAGGATTAAAGTATAAAGAAAACAGAAAGGGAGTGGTACCAAGATAATCTCCTATATCAAGGGAACCAATATTCATTTTCTTAAACAAATTCATAGCACCTGAGCCAAAAAGAAAAAAAGAGTAGTGAATAATTGTACAACCATGAGCTGCATTCAACACTAGTAAACCCAAAAAACAACTAATATTTTAGTAAATAAAATTTGAAATCACAAGAATTTCACAGAAAAGTCAATTGTTTTGCCCATCTCCGTTTTCTCTGTTCTGATAAATGGAAGAACATGTAGGAAAAAGCGAATATGTAGAACCAATGCAAGAGGTCCCATAAACTCATTTGTTTGGGGACTAACATCCACATCCTCCAGACAATGAAAAACAAGTGAACTATTCAGAACACCAACTTATGCACTTGTGTATTCAACTCTCTTCCTTTATGCTCCTCCAATCTCCTATTTATGGCATATTAGGCCTGTTTGGTAGAGCTTATAAACTGCTTATTTCAGCTTTTAGCTTAATTTAAGCTAAAATACTGTGTTTGGTGCAGTTTAAGTTAACCAGCTTATAGCTTAAATCAAGCTATTTCTCAGCTTATCTCAAAAGCTGGTCAGGGGGTGCTTAAATTTTTTACTTAAGCGCGCAGCTGGTATGGGGGGCTAAAATTACTTAAATGCCCTCGTCAATGCTCAAATATTAATATTAATTAATATTAATATTAATTAAAAAATAAAAAATTGTATATTTCTGAAGAAAAAGAAAAAAAATCAATATTAATTGAAAAATAAATATTAATTGGTATTAATTATTAATAAATTCGTATTGTATATTTTTATATTAATTAAAAAATAAAAAATTGTATATTTCTCAAGAAAAAGAAAAAAATCAATATTAATTGGTATTAATTATTAATAAATTAATATTGTATACTTTTGTAATGAATTAATTATTAATTGATACTAATTAATGGCAATTGTTGATTATTAATATTAATTGATACTAATAAAAATTAAATATTAATATTAATTTATACTAATTAATAATTTTAGTATTAATTAAGACTAATTAAGCCATTAATTGATACAATTAATAATTTTAGTATTAATTGATACTAATTAAGCAATTAATTAATACTAATTAATTTATAATGAAAAATAATTGTGACAATAATACTTCCATTCATTTTTAGCAAATGTATCAATTTTTATATTAATTGATACTAATTAATACTAATTATATTAACTTTTATTAATGAAAATTAAAACTAAAAAAAATGACGAAATAATTATTTTTATATCATATAAGGGTAGAAAGAACAATTATACAGTAAAAAGCTATTTTACAGTTTATTAACCAAATACTACTCTGCTGCTTAAATTCATAATCTCACAGCTGCACAAAACAAGTTAACAGCTTATGTTCGCAGCTATAAGCCATAATCTGTTAAGTTATAATCTATAATTACTTTTCCACAGCTCTACCAAACGGGGCCATTATAATGAAAAGAGTAAGTTGTTATGGTTATTGCACATTGGAACATGTAACAAATGCACACATAAACAAGGTAATTGAAATAATTAGCAGCAGGCATGACCGATATGTGAATTTAACTGAGTTTTATCACCAAATGAACACTTGGTGCATTTACATCTACACAAAAGTACTGTAAATTCTTATATATTTCAGAGCCATTGACTTTTCATTCAACAATCCTATTAAAAAAGAAGGAAAACAACTACGAGCACAAGTACAGCACTTAAGAGCTTCCTGCTACAGCATCTTGCCTTTAGCATCGCAAACAAGTTGGAACAATCACTGTCAGGGATGTGGCAGTACTCTTTCGATGAGAGAGTTTCTTGCCCAATAAATTTTCATCAGAACTACTATTGCTGTTTTAAGCTTTTTTCTTTTTATACAGAGATGCAGAAACAAAAAAGAGGAAATGACCACAGATACAAGAGCATACCGAATGAGATGATGGCAAAGGATATCAGAGTACCAATTGCACCAAACATCATGATAGTCATGAAGTTGCGGAAAAATTGTTTCTTCTTTACCTGGAACCTGATAAAATATATTCAGATAAAGGAAAAAAAAAAAAAAAAAAAAAAAAAAAAAAAAAAAAATTGAAGAAGAAGAAGAAGAAGAAAGAATTGACGTCATTAAAATTCAGAATGTACAATACAATCATCTAGAGAGAGGGATATTTCAAATTATACTTTCCCACTCCCACCAGTCTATGATTTATTCATGAGCCACATAAAAGAACAGCCTATTATTAAACATACTAAATACACTAGGAACACTAGAGGACATTGGCAACCAAAAACGTAGTTACATTAATTTAATGTTAAATTTCCTGTTCAAAATGCCCTGATATAAATGGTAATTGCATAAAAATTCTATCTCCACTTCTAGTGTCAATGAGGAAAAGAAAAAAGAACAGAAAAAAAAAATGTTGATAGAAGCTATTAAAAAAAAGTATTACTCAAGTGAGGACCAACTAACTTTTCAATTATTATGACAGTCATGTTGTATGTTGCAGTTAGTTCATCACCTCTGCTGGGGGCAAACAATTTTCTACAATAATCTAGAGTAGCTCGTTATGCACTATATAGATGCCACAATGAACAAATTATAAAGTATTTATGTCAACATCAAAACACTATCATACCTGATGTGGAAATAACAATGCATAATCAAACGAACAGATGACCAAATGGAAGTAAGGTTTCAAAACTTTGATTAAAACTTCCAAACACTCTAGCTCATGTCACATGTTTAAATTTCTGTGCATGCACACAACAATTTAATAACAAAATTTCATGTGCCTGATTTGATAGAAGACTATCATCACAAAGAGTCAAACCCAATTTTGCTCATAAAAAGCAGATAACCAATGAAAATGAACATACCCTGCATTGAAAATGATAGGTGGAAGAAGATATATAAAGAAAAGATCTTCACTGAAAACTAAAAGATGTGAATTTGTTCCTCCACTAGTTAGTAGAATAACAACTCCAGTGCACAGACCCTGTCATCAACCCACAAAAAATCAAATTCAGTTCATCTTTACCCACTATAAACTACAAATATATGCATGCACACACCAGTTTATACACAAACTCACAATTATGAGGGCTGTGATGGACTCGTTCATCCAACGATTCTCTTCCAACAGATGCCCGAGCACAATACACGTACAAAGAAGTGCCACAAATAAGTTTATAGAGACCACCGAAGTGTAATCAGACGTAGATACCATTTCCATCTTCGCCAATAAAGAAACTAAGCCAAGTCCCATCTTATCCAACTCGATTGATCACAAAAGTGAATTAAACTAAACTAAAACACCAAACTGTTTGCTTCCCACAATACAAGACCCAACTAACTTTCAATTTCCCTTCAAGCCTTAGATTTTCAATTTCTGAAATTCGTTCCAGTGATGGTGCCAGCTCTCACAAAACCAAATAAATTCTGTAAAACAAAACAAATAGTATACTGTTCAAATCAATTGTGTACGGCCAGCTCAAACTTTCACACAAGCTTAATTATACAATACAGATATAAAACATGTATTGAAGCCGATTTGCATAGCTCAATCTTAATCAGAAATTCAATTAAACACAAGCACATATATACGATCAATCGGTTATAGAAAGTTCAAACTGTCTCACAAGTTCAATTATACAACACAGATTTATAACATATATAAAAACTGATTGAGTAACTATCACCAGATTTGCATAGCTCAATCTCTATCAAAAGTCCAATTACAAGCATGCACATGCATATATATACACATATATAGGATCAATCGGCTATATCAAGCTAAACTTTCTCACAAGCTCAATTATACGATACAGATATAAACATATATTGAAGCTGAGTGAAAAAGCTACTACCAGATTTGCATAGCTCAATCTTAATCAGAAGTTCAATTACACACAAGCACATATATAGGATCAATCGGTTATAGAAACCTCAAAATGTCTCACAAGTTCAATTATACAACACAGATTTTAACATACATAGAAACTGATTGAATAATTACCAACAGATTTGCATAGCTCAATCTCTCTCAAAAGTCCAATTACAAAACACGTACATGCATATATATACACATATATAGGATCAACCGATTATAGAAAGCTCAAACCATCTCATAAGTTCAATTATACAACACAGATTTTAACATATATAGAAACTGATTGAGTAACTACCACCAGATTTGCATAGCTCAATCTCTCTCAAAAGTCCAATTACAAACACATTCTTGCATATATATATACACACATATATAGGATCAATCGATTATATCAAGCTCAACTTTCTCACTTGATCAATTAGATAAGACACCAGATTTGCATTAGCTCAATCATTCTCGGAAGTCCAATTACACACGAACAAGCACAAATACAAGTATAGAACTCTTCATACGTATATACATCTATGTAGGAGATGAGTGAATTTCTTACCTGCAGAGCTGGAAAAATTCAAGTACGAATCAGAAATTTGTGATCCAAGTAGATCTCGACTGTGAAGAACAAATTCAAACTGATCACCTACTCGAAATTGATTTTTGCTTTCAAAAACACATATAAATTGAGTAAATTCGTTGTGAAATTGTGAATGAATTGAAGAATCGAACTCTAGAAGCAGAGAATGAAGAGAGAGAGAGAGAGAGAGAGAGAGAGACGTAGGGTATTGCAGCTCCGTGCCAAGAACGAAATTTCTAGAGAGAGGAGAGAGGGGGGACGGAACGTTGGGGCCGCGAAAAGAGAGTTAAATAGTCCGTGTGGAGAGAGAGAGAGAGGAGTTCTGAAGTTTGAATTTTTTGTGGAGTGATCCTGACCGTTGATTTTTTGGGGTGTGTGCTTCGGATGGCTGATTTGTTAGGATCACGAGAATAGAATCTTTTTTTTTTAGGATCTGTTTGGTTGTGCATTTTTTGTTTTTCTGTTTTCATTTTATTACTTTTAAAAACTTTTTTTTAGATTTTTTTTGAAAAAATCCATAATTTTATTTCTGAAAATAGGAAAATTGAAAATGAAATATGTTTTTTGTATTTTTTTAAGAAAAATAAAACAATAAAATAGAAAATAAAAATACAACCAAACAAACTGGACTTTACTCCTTTATGTCTTTAGATGAAACAATTATTTGATGCATCATGCAATCATGTCATACACTATTTCTACTTTTTATATATTATTTTTAAAAATATTAATATGATGTTTTCCAATATACAAAGCCAATCTTCTCTCTCTGGGTCCGGCTGCTGCCTCCCAGTGCTGACTTGTTCTTTTTTGTTTTCCAATTTGAGTTGGATTTGAAGATATTTTAATTATAAAAAGATAAAATAATTTTTTTAATTTAATAAGATAAAATATTATATTCAACTCATAATTATTATACTCTTTCTCTTAAAAAAGTTAAAAAGTTAAAAAATTAATCTCAAACCAGGCTTTTTAGCCAAAAGTCAAAAAGTCAATCCGCTTCCCAAACGAACTCATAATAATTATTTTACTTTCATGCCCCTCGTTTGCGAATAGACTATTTTAGTAACTTTTAAATTTTTTAACCAATATATAAGATAAAAAAAATGAATATGTTTGGAATGACTTTTTGATTTTTTATGAAAAGATATACAAAAAGTAAAGAGAAAAATGAATATTTGACTTTTTGATATAAATTATAGGTTTTTTAATTTTTTTAATAACTTTTTGACTTTTAGACTAAAACTGTGCATACCATACGAGGCATTTTGAAATAACTTTTGTTTTAAATGTTATTTGAGGGATTAATTTAGGAGAAATTACAAATTAGTGAATTAGAAAAAAATATTTATAAAAAAGTTGTAATTACTTTTTCTAATTCAACCGTTGTGTAATTCTCCCATTACTTTATTAAGTGTTCTGGGGTAACAAGATGATTCTATTTCGTGCAATTTATTTTAAGTTAAAAGTTAATAATTAGATAGTAAAAATTAAAAATACTCATTCTCTATTTTTTAAATAATTAATTTTTTCAGCTTATTTAAGATATTTCTACCTAATAAGTTGTAGGAAAAAATTATACTAAACAGTTTTAAGCAAGCAAGTGCAGAACTAGAAAGTTGACTTGATGGGGGCCAAATTATGAATATCATATATTCCTCACAGAATTTTTCGAAATATATTTCATTACGAGAAAATTTTAAAAGTCTAATTGACGTATATATGTTTTATAATTTATTTGTTATTACTTGATACTTTTTGTGCTGATTTTATTTTTTTTTAGTCCAAAACTTATATTATTTGTAGCACTAATGCCTCGTTTGGGAATATATTTTTTTAGTAACTTTTTAATTTTTTAACTAAAATGTAATATAAAAAATTAGTATGTTTGGGATGATTTTTTTGACTTTTTGTGAAAAGATGTACAAAAAGTAGAGAGAAAATGGAATCTTTAACTTTTTGATATGAGTTGTTGGCTTTTTGATTTTTTTAATAACTTTTTAACTTTTTGCTAAAAAAGACAGTTGCCAAACGAGACCTAAATATAGTATTCATGTGCGGCTAATAAATATCAAAATTTTATTGTTTTCTTATTATAAAAAGTTTCCTAATTAAATTTACCTAAACTTTACATATATTATAAATACTTAAAATTTTGTAGAGGACTAAATAATTTTTGGTTTCTATTTTTGTTTATTTTATTTTATTTTTGGTTGTCTTTTTGCGGGGGTGGCCTAGGTCCGCCCGATAAGCAAATCATAAAATATATAACAAACCTACCCAACTTCTATTTACAGTTTACTAGACATAATTAATTTAAATAAATTGAAAAAAAATATATGAGTGAGCGATGCTTTTGATTTATACTTTTAGATTATTAATTTTTAATTTATAATAAATAACATCAAAGAACACGATAGTATATCAACTTAATTTTTATTAATTGAAATGGTAAGACTTATCACTTTTATATTATTTTTGATTAATTATTATTATTGATAAAATATTCATACTACACAAACCAAACATGGTGTTCAAAATATCTATAAATTTTCTTGAATCTTATCTTATGAACCTTGCAAGCATATTATACAATGAATTTGTGTCTTGAGAGTCTCCAACAAATAGTTTTTTTTTTTTTTTTTTTTTGGGTTTTTTTTTTTGTCTACTAGCCCCTGGTTGGTTGGTTCTTCGGTGTGCCAGGTAGATATCAAAAGTGCTCCAACTACGTATATAAGCAGGACTCCTTTTACATTCATAGAAAATTATATTTAGAGTAAATTACAAATTCTTCTGTGAAATTTTGAAATTTACAATCAGCCCCTTAAAATTTTATATCGCATGATAAAGATCCCTTTTGTTAGTCAATTGTTAAGTCAACTAACTGATTTTGTTAAGTTGCTTATGGACTTATTGGTTTATTTTTATCACATCATCTCTCTACTTTTTTATACATCTTTTTATAATAAGTAAAAAAGTCAACTTATAAGCGCTACATCCAAAACAACCCTTATAATATTTTTTTTAACTCTCAATATTTTTTTCTTTGCACCAAAAAATTGAAGGGAAACAAAATGAAAGAATGAGAGGTTATGAGGTAACAATAGAGGAGTGAAAAGATAAAGATATAGCGGTGGAGGAATGGAAAAGCGATTTAGGGAGTTAATGGAGATGATGGTCGTCATGGTGAAAGGGTGGAAGAGGGGAAAGAAGTGGCCACTGTGTTGATTCTAATGAGGAAGAATAACAAAGTAAAGAAAAAATGAAAAAAAAAAAAAAATGAGTGAAAATGAAAGAAATAAGGATACTGGTCATTACTTTAGTATCGGAGGGTAATCAAATAATTTAGTATTAACATTTCTAAATGCCCATACCTTTCTTCTTAGCACCTCTCACTTCTTTGTACCTTCACCAACAAAATTGCTCTCTTCCTCATTTTTCTTTAGACCCTTACCATAATCTCGAATATACCCTCACCTCAATATTTTGTCTCTCTTCTCTCACTTCACCGGTCTTTCAACCATAACCCATTTCGGCCGACGACCTCTTCCTCTCATCACAGCCTCGGCCGGCAACTTTCCTATCATCACCCGCTCACCTCCAGACCAAACCTACCACCACTACCACCTCTACCTCTCCCCCATCCACCATCTTACACCAACCTCCCCATTGACGTCGCTCTCCCTCTTAGTCATTCATCAACGCTGCTACCCACAAAATAACCCTAGAGCCCTCCTTCACCATGCTCGTGTTTGATTTTTCTTCATTTAAAATAGTCCGGCTTGGTTTGGAAAACCAATACCAAACAAATTGTGGAGGTTCAAGTGCAGACTACCCAACAAATTGTGGTATTTCGGTTGAAGACAGTCGAACAAATGGCAGTGGTTCAGGCCTAAAGTACCGAACTGAATATGAGAAGAGAATTTGGTACAAACACAAGCAAGTTTAACCTAGTTTTGAGGATCGTCTTTGAGCATGAAGAAAATATTATGTCCTAAAAGAGCTTTGAAAACACTATATCAATCATTTTCGTTACAAACAAAGAAATGGGTATTAATACAAATCTTCGATTGTTTTGTTTTTCTAATCCTCCTCATCCTCCTCCTCCTCCTCCCCCTTTTTCTTTTCTTCTTCCCCCAAAACCCTAGCCCTAGATCTAGGCTTTTTTTTTATCTAAAAGTAACAATCTTCGTCGGAGGTGAGGAAGTGGTGACTGCACCACTTCTCTCTCTCTCTTTCTCTCTTTCTTTATGTACGATGGTGGTGAAGGGCTACGAAGGTGAAGGTGGTAGTGGTGGTGGTGGGGGTGTGGGTGATGGTAATGAAGGTGAGACATCAAAATGAGTACTGGTTGCAGCAACTAGGGGCTGTTATGGTCGAAGATGGTAATAACTACCGAAGGTAGTGAGGGATGGAATTAGGGTTAGGGTTTGGGTTTGAAAAATTAAAGTTAGAAGATTAGAGATAAGGGTAAAAATGAGATTTTATGTTTGGACAAAATTAGAATTAAAAAAAATAAAAGAGGTGGGAGTTCAAAGTAGAAAGGTAATGGCATTTAATAGCCCTCTATAAGAAAATATTTGTAATTTTCAAATTAGAAAGAAAAATTTATATTTTAAACAAATTCTAGGGAATATATTTATAATTTACTCTTATATTATATATAGCTTAGGTGGACCATGAAAAAATTGAAAATAGGCACGAGGGTTGGCTTTGGTGGACCTAGGGGTGTAAATTTGGGAGTAAATAACCATTAGGTCCTAAGAATATGATTTAATTCAATTCCTATCAAATTCTATTGAAAATAAGTTATAGTAAAATTATCGTTAAAAATAATTTTTTATAATAATTTTTTTAAAATGTCACTAAAACTTATAATTAATGACATTTTTTATGACAAAATTTTCAAATGATCGCTGAAAATTAACAATTATTAACATTTTAAATATTTTTTGATAAAAAAATGTCATTAATTCTCAGAGGACCTATTGGACAATAAGTGTAAAAACCCAAATATGAAAATAAAATAAATAATTAAATAATAAATTTTATAATCTCAAATATTTTGCTAGTGAATCCTAAAGTACAAATTAAATATTTGGAGGGTCATTTAATTAATTTTAAACCTAAAATAAATTTATGGTGAAAGTCTTTAATTTAGAGGCAAGATTTATTATTTAAAAAAATATAGAGAATGGGATGTGACTTGAACTTTAGACCACAAAATAAATAAATAGGGCTTTTACAATTTCAGTTGCATATAACTTAT